TATATATATATATATATATATATATATATATATATATATGTATATAAAACAAATTTCCAATTGTTTTATTCTTGGATATATAAAAGTCATTGTGTCCTTTCTGTTTAATTAAATTTTGTTTTAAAATTGTGCAATAAAAACTAATTCTGTTTGTATATTATACTACACCAACAAAAATTGTTCTAACTCAAATCTGGGTTCCATAAGTTGATCCTTGTGTTTGGCAGATTTTTAACATAATTATATCTTTTAAATCCTCATAAAAATCTTAGAGGTCATGGCCTACTTAATGTATTTCTCTCCTATAATTGATGACTGACGACAATAGAATATAAAATGTTGACCGAATTTTATTAAAAAATGTTTTCTTTCTTCTGTTTTTCTATCCTACCTACATTCCGTTGATATCATTAATACCACCTGTGAGTATTATAACCTATATGAGTCCATTTCCTTTCGTAGATGACAACAAAATGAAAATAACTATTGATGGGGGATTCATTTCTGGTGCAGAAATTGGGTTGATATGTTAAACTGACATAATCTTTGAGTCTCTTCCAGTAAATTGTGCAATCGTGATCCTTATTAATGGCTGCATCTTCATTTTTACTAATGATTGGAAGTGAATAACTATTTGATGAAGGTGGATATGGTTGCTGCTTGGCAAAAACTGTTAAAGAGGTTAATAGCAGGGGCGGATCCAGAGATGTCCAAAAGGGGGGGCCGAAAGGGGGGGCCGAAATTTGGGCCGATTGAGACAAAAATGTCCTACGAGGTCCGGGGGCATGCCCTGCGAAATTTGTGTGTTCTAGACGCCCGAAAATAACATTTGAAGCATTCTGGGCTATCATTTTTTTCTTTTTCTTTCTTTTTTCTTTCTTTTTTCTTTTTTTTCCCCCCCTAAATCCGCCCCTGAATAGGACCTATTGTACAGGTATTACCCATCCTAGTTCTTACGACTGTAGGCTGTCAGTAGGAAGTTTTTGATTGCACGACAACGGTAGGGCTTAAAACGTAGTGACGTCACTAAACTCATCTGCGCATTGCGAGAACATTGAGTTCTCGCGGTTGCGTGGATTCTAAGACACAATTTTGACAAATCTATGTTGTGCAGAGAACATAGGAAGCTCCCGAGTATAAAAGTATGGAGCTACAATAAAAAAAAGCATCAGGATAAATCACATGAGTCTCATGAAGGTAACTATAACCACCAATACACACTTATAAGCCCCTTGGGATGTTTAAAATTAGGTCTTTATGATGGAATTTCTTCACTGGCTATATCCATATACATGCTTCCATCCGGAGCTCCTTTCATGTTCCTTATGGATCTTCAAGTTCCTGAAGGTTTTTTTCAATTTCCTAGGTTTCCCACCCCCAATGCTTTCCCATTTCCTCCGGGTGAACTTCTATTCTAAGTTCAAGTTCATCATTTCTTACATTTCCTCAGACCTTCCCATTCCTCAGTGTTTTCCATATCCTCCGGATTCTCTCGTTTCTTTAAGGATTTCTCCCATCACGTTTCTGCCATTTCCTCAGGGTTCCTAAATTATCTTTCTCTCTTACAAAGCTTTACCCGTAAACTGGGTCATCACCTAATTAGTTAGAGCAATAGTTATTAGGCTGTGTAGTTAAAATAAGTTAACATTGAGGGCTACTACTGTATAAATATTCCACTTCAGAGAAATATTATTTGGGCTTACGTGCAATTAAGGTCCTGATATGTCTGCTAAAATCAGCCAATTGGAATTAGCTGCCTCGTTTCTTACTCTAGGTACTTGACAAACGATTATGGTGGCATGGTTACAAGAAAATCCATCAGCAACGATGTAGACATAGCATCTTATACCTAGCCTGCCTTTCAAGTGTTGTGTGTACGCTGCCCTTAGAGGATGACATTATTTCACAATCACAGAATGTTTTCAACCTATTCGCATTTTTTTTTCTTAGTTGATATCTTCTGCAAGTTACAGCAAAGTGTTCTATATGAAAACCTCTGTGAGGTTTGTACCTATTATATCTGAAGTAGAGGTTTGATTGCCTAATCAAAAATTACCACATTCATCTTAACACTGAAACATTTGAATTGATACTTTATATTTAAAAAAAAAGAAATTACAAAGTATTAACCATGTTTTGGGCATAATAATTCAAATATATAAACATATAACTTGCTACAGCTTTTATGGAATTAAAAATTCCTGGATGGACTCTAACATTGTTACATTTTTTTGTGGTTCAGTGGTGGATCATTAGCTTCCAATGTTAACATTGGGGATATAAGCACGTTTCATCCATGTTCTTGTGTCTATCCTGATAATTTTAAATTCCAAAGGACTGATAATGAGTTTTAACATATAAAATCTAAGCATCTCATAGGCAGTTGTTTTCAATGACAGAGCTTATAATGTGAATATTATATAGGTATTGTACTATTTAAAGCCCAATATATATCATTATTTTTGTTGTTGTCATCATCATCATCATCATCATTATTATTGATTGATATATTCAGTGTCAGTAAATATATATATATATACAAAGTAAACAATGACAGAGAAAACAAATGATACTAAGGATGAACCAAGAAAGATAAAAAAGAAACCTTATTTCCATTGAGGACCATACGTTAAAATAGAGAATACAAAACACGGAAGTCAAAAATCAGAATAAGATAAAAAAAAAAACAAAGACAAATAAAATTTAGTGTAAAAATGGACGATAAAATACATTGCAATTAAGTGTAAAATTTCAATTTAAAAGCTTAAAAATATTTAAAAGTTTAACAATTAAAAAAATTCAAAGATTTGAATAAATGATAAAGCTTTACCATAAAAACAGCAAGCAAATACAAGCCAGTACATTTGGATTATGATAATAATAATAACAACTTTATTTTAAAATGGAGAAAACTTGTATCACCATATTGGTGTTTTTTACAAGGCCATTTTTGCAAGAAGATAAAAATGAAATGAAGAAACTTAAAACACATACATACATATTGAAATACATACTGAGCTAAGAAAAGTAAAATACTAAAATATTAAAATTATAAAGACTGAAAACTAAAAATTGGTGTCATGACCATGTACAACAGCATGTTTAAAATGTTCCTTAATAATATTAAGTTTAAAATTATTAACAACACTTCAACATTATCATTTATCGTTGTTAAAGTATAGCTCTCTCCCGGAGTTGGGTAATTAGAATTTATTATAATTAACAACCCACGGTTTTTCATCCTGATGTAATTAACTAGTCATTGTTATTGAAATAATAGGACAGAAAGCAAAATACTTACTTAATGCAAGCCATAGATCTGGGTATATTAATTTGAATACATATAAATGAAGACCACAACCGGAATGTCATCATCTTTTCATTATCACCGGATCAAAATGTCACAACAGTACACACATTTCTTTGTTTACATATCATAAAACCTCGATTAGAAGCCTTGGGCTGTTTCTTTTTTTTGCGAACTTTAGATGAGTTGCTTATCAAGATGAGCTTCTTTTCGAAATAAGCATCTTTTCGAGGCTACTTTTGCCAAGTAAAGAGGACGCTTCTTTTTAAAATGAATGCTGTAAATTTTTGTAATTACTACTATACAACAATAAACAGGGCCACATCAGTCTGTATCATGGACATTAAGTCACCTAAACTAAGTATATATAAACCAGGCAAGTTTTAAAATTATTTTGTTTCTTTGTAATTCATGTACAGTGTATGTACTGGACTATCTTGAAAAGAAGCCCATGCTATCTCTAAAAGAAGGGGGCCATGGGCTTCTTTTTGAGGCTACTTTTTACAAACTAAAAAGTGGACTTCAATACGAGATAGGCTTCTTTTCAAAATTAAGCCCATTGATGATTTTACCTTTGAGTTTGAAGATGTATTTTCTAAAGATCATTTTATTGGTTTTCTCCTCAGAGACATCGAATGCTACATTAAACTAAAACTAAATCATATTTACGTTTGATAAAAACAACCTTTATTGATTGAATATACATTGTTTTTATACCATTATTCAATGGGGATTCCAAAAAATGTAAGGCTTTTTTCCCCCCTTTTGCCTACCCGTTGAAAAGTTCACATTTTCCACTAGATAAAGGCAAGAGATGAAGATGCATAAACTAGAAACAATGTGACTAACCGTAGCTGTGCGCAATCTATGTCTCTATGTCTATAACTGAAATATCTTTGTGATAGCTAATTCAAGACTATTCCTTTGAAGACAAAATTTCAACATAAAATGCCCTCTAAAGATCATAATGGCCCCGAGTGGGCATGACCTGCCCATCGGCTCAGGGTCACGCCCACTGGCTTCCATTTCGGATGGCCAATTTCATTTTTTCTGGCTAAGCCCCTGCTGTATATATACCTGTCTCTTATACACATCTAGATGTGTATAAGAGACAGCAATTAAGGTCCTGATTGCTGTATGCGTTTTATTACTATTTTATTGAAGCCGATGCAGCCACCTACTCGTTTGATTTTATATATATATACATACATACAGTTTGCGTGTGCAAGTTTCATGTCTACAATGACAAACTATTACTAAATTTATATACTGTAGCATCCAATTAAGAGATCTGTTTATTTTAATTTTTATCAACGATTTGCGGGTAACTTAGGACGACTTGTGCATAGTTAACAGCGTTAACGTAAAAAGTTCACTTTCATGGCAACCCAGTGTGGGCAGCTTTATGATTCATTAAAAAAACTGAAACATTTCCAACTTTACATCACATGACATCTTTAAAACGTATGCTTCATTATATCACCTGAGTACCATGATAGACCCACTTATTACCAAACCAGACTAATCTTAACACTTCAATGAGCTGCCAATCATATTTACAACAGCTCTTCTGATTGGTCGCTCTAAACTTCCCTTTCATGCACGAAACCATATTGAAAATTTCCATCAAGTTTTCCAAGATATTCTGAAAAATTGAAAGGATTTTAACCTCCATAATTTAAATTATTTTCAGCTCATATATTTGTTTAAACCAAAATAATCCAACTAGGATATGTGACATTATTACTATTACTACTACTACTACTGTTATTACTATTACTGTATATACAGTACTTGCATATAAGACAATGCTTAAAATAGCAAATTATGATGGAAAAACAGGGGGTTGTCTTATACGCATGACATACATATGTTAGATTTACTACATCATGTTCGTCTTATGTGCGGATTGTCCATAACACACAAATTTACTACTGCAATGAACCTACTAAATATTAGTATGGATGAATGCGATTTTAAATATGGTGAAATAAGATTTTGATGCACAATTAAAAATTCATAAAATGATATTATTTGGAAGAAAACCTTGCATTTGGCTCCATTTTTAGCCAGCTAGAAGCAGTGTCAAGACCATACCAAGCAGAAAAATGTAGGAATTCCGATGATAAATCGGGTTGTCTTATACTCCCAACATACAAAAACGTCCCAAAACCTTCTCAAATTATTATTATTATTATTATTATTATTATTATTATTATTATTATTATTATTATTATTATTATTATTATTATTATTAATATCATTATTATTATTGTTATTATTATTATTATTATTATTTTCTGGGGACCCCTTTTGAGACAAGTTTTCAGGTTTATTAGGGTTCTCTGCTTTTTATGTTTAATTTATTTATTGGGTGTGTGGGTTTATGGAAGTTTTCTGATTTTGTAATGTATTCTGCTTGTTTATTTTTCTCACTATGATCATTTCTTGTCTCCTCTTTGTAAAGATTTCATGGAAAGCAATAAATATTACTTACTTACATACTTACTTACTAATGAATTATGCTAAGCCCGAGTGAAAAAAGAGGGATGATAGAGACCCTGAAAACCAGCACAGTTGGCAAACTGCCACACTTTTCACATCAAGATTTAGAGTAACTCATAAGTAAAATCCTAAAAATGTGTCCTGTTTCTACAGTCTGCAGATGATGATTATCAACAAATGTTACCAACCATCGTAAACGACCCGTAAAAGATGTCAACCGCTTACGATATTCCCCAATCGCATCACAGTTAGACCTTGTATAATTATTGCGTACAAAAATGGAAAAACAAAAAATCTATGCTACGTCCGCATTGTATGTGGAACGTATTGTTGGCGGCAGATCAGAAGTTGTAGAGTAGTATTTTTATTTGTATGTATGATTATATTTAATATGTGGTTTACTGTGGGATTATGGAGTCTACAGTACCCTATCTCTGCCTATGATTGCAATGATAATGTATATCACCATTTTCTATGTACGTGACTCTACAAGAAGGCACAGTGCGACCTACTTTTATTATGACATCTTCTGTAATACCATGGATTGTGTGTATTAACAACGATGGGTAGCTCCCTAGCTTCGCATACAAAGCAACTCTCCAGGGGTTGGTCAAAGTTTCGTCGACCATTGACCGATTTTTCTCTCCATTTTTCGTCATTAAAACATTCAATCCTTCCCATAGGGTATAGACCAGTAAGTTTGATCTCACTGTGGATGATGTTTCTCTAATGTTCTTGCTGCCTTCCGATCGTCCCATTTATCATCTTTTCAGAATTCCTTCTCTCGGTGTCTAAAAATAATCTGACACAAAAATTGTTATGCGAAGAGTATCAAGAGTTGCGTTACATTATAATATAATTGCTCTCTTATATGATGAAAGATGTTTTGATAATGCGGAGACTGATGAATGATTTAAAACAAATAAAACAAATATAAAATCTAGTTAAAGCATAAATATACTATATAATTAATGACCAACTTTCTCTTTTGATGGGTTTATTTTTATCTTTACTTTCTTCTCATTGGTCCATGGTTAATATTTGTTTACATATCAATTATTCATTGTATTTGATAGTATTTTTTTATTCTTAATAATTTTCTAATAAAGAACAAGATGCAGAATCAAATGTGGCCAGCTTGTCTTTTTTATGAGTTACTTTCTTCTTTTAAACTCTTATTACAAATGTAAAATCTATTTAAAATAGTAAATATATTACATATTACATATAATTACCTACTTTCCTTTTTGATTGGTTTGATTTTATTTTTACTCTCTTCTTATTGGTCCACTGTTAATATTTTGTTTTAATATAAATTATTCATTGTTAGCTAATGATTGTATTTATTTATTCTTACAAAAGTTCTAATAAAGAACAAGATACGGACTCAAATACAGCCTGCTTGTTTTGTTTTTTTTTCTATTTTACGAGTTACTTTACTCATATTAAATTTAATCATGTTTGGGAAGTTTATTAGAAAATGTGATTTTAACTAATAAATCCATTGGAGATCTATTAGACATTATGTAGTATTAAATCTCTAATCCACTTTATGATTTCATCGTATGACATTAGTGAAAGATCTTGACTTAGTGTCCACTAAGGTACTGTGATTAATTCAAGGTTTAAGTAAAGATTATCTTCTTTGTATAATATCCTACAGCTCATTGTTATAAAAATCTCCAATTTTTCTATTCTACAAAAAACTGGGCCACACAGCCTTCCCATCTTCATTCAACATTGTTTTCCATGTATTTGAAAATTAATTGTTAATTCATAAGAAAAACGAATCAAGGGAAAATTAATCTTGTTTTTATTTTAAACATTATTTATTTATTATTCTTGCAACAGTGATTCATCGCCACTTACCGATTGGCATGAACTTACTAGTTACTGATGGCGGTTCTGCTTCTTGGTGGTGATTCCCGAGACTTCTATTTTTCAGATCGTCCAAGAAAAATTCTTCTTCAGTTATTAAGTAAACTTAAATAAATGATATATCAAAACTTAAGATGCAATTAATACAGTATACAAACATTACCAAGCAAAACAATATAAGATTAACTTTTCAATTCCTCATTTAAATAAAGCTATAAATTTCTAGTAAGACACAGATCAAAAAATATATCAGTTTTTATAGATTTACGGAGAGTTTACTCCAAAAATTTTGATTACTAGCCAATCTTTGGGTATAAAAATAGTATAATAAAAAGTTTAATAAACTGCATTTCTATGTTTATGGTTAACCGTTATTCTTGATACCTACTTGGTTATACAGTAGTTGCAGATTCAGTATTTGTGATGATTGCCGCTGGGTATGAGAAGATGATAATAATTCTACCATTCCTCAAGTGTTCTTTGTTAAAGCGCCCTCAATTGTCAGACTTACTTGGCAAACCTGTAGCGTATTGTTTTGCATCCTGGAGCTGTTTAGTGTAGTGTCACCAGTGGCGGATCCAGGAATTTGCAATAGATGGGGCCCACAGAGGGACTTTCACAGATGGATGGTCTATACTACCTCAGCCCCACAATGGATGGGGGCTGAGGGAAGAAAATATATGATTATGGCACCCCTAGAGGGGGGAAATGGCAATCTTAAACTCAAAATTTGAGTAGAATTTTCTTTTTTCCTCATTTTTTTTTTTTTTTTTTTTTTAAATCTTGGGGGGGGGGGTGGCCGGGTCGGCTGCCCCCCCCCCTTGATTCCGCCACAGTGTGATCATGTTTCTGTTGTTAATTTTAATAAACTGAATAAGCTAAACTACATAAATGATGAAAAGCTGTAAAATCTTCTTTATCCTAGGCCTTTTTATAATATTTACTTCTTCAATTTAGGAGCAAACTTAATTGTTGAAGGCTACTGCTCGACTGGCTCTAACTTTTTGAAGTATCAAATTTTGTGAGGCCTTACCACGAAAAGAGGTGCATCGTTGGTGAACTCATATTGAGATATTCACCAAAATAGGTCAAAGTCAAAATGTTTACAAAATTGAGATTTTAATGTTTTTGAATAGCTTGATACTTATATTTTATGATTGTGTGCTTTTAAAGTGAATTCTCTTACTAAAACAGTGTTCTCTGCATATATTCTGTAATTCTAGTCCTATTATTTCTACAGGTTAGTTTATCTTTGAGGCCGATTTTCTCAAAACGCAGTTCTCATACACTTAATCTTCAAATACTCACATCTCTGGAACGACTTATCCTATGGAAGTTATTCAAAGTCCAAATTAAAGTTTATAATGTGATCTACCTAAATATATTATAGACTCAATTTTTGATTTTCTAACCATGAGACTCATTTTTGCTAGCTTTTATATCAATATTATAACTGATACAGGTCTCCCTCCAATTAAAAACCACCTTTCTGCAGCCCTAAATGAATGGCTTCATGTTTTATTTTTATGAGAATAATTTTTCTAATTAAGGAAAAAAGCTGCGAAGGACCATGAAAACCCCGGTCACAAAAGTGGCCTTTAATTGGGGAAGGGGGCAGACCTGTATAATATTAACAATTATTAATATAATAATCATTATTATTATCAGAAACAATAATATTATTTTTATTAGTAATTGTATATAATATAGGCACAAATGTTCAATATATTATTCAATGTATCTAGATGGTATTTACAATGACAATCGTTAATTATTAAAGAAAAACATTACATCGATATATGTAGCATCCGCTCATTAACCTATTTGTTCCTTATTACAGAATATAAATTATGTAATATATATATGTAATATATTAGAATTTTTAATTTTTTTTTTCTTGATACAATTATATAGACCTACAATAGACAATAAATGTATGGTGTTGTAAAGTTGCACGTGATGTTAAGGTTTTTCCATTATGAAATTTGCGTAAAGGATCAACAATGCTTGTTATTGTTGTGTGCGTTTATTGGGTGTATTATTAATTGTATACCTAGTTTCCATGCTATCTATTTTCCACCTGTCCTGCAAACAGCTTGTTTTCCCATTTCCTGATCAATTGTCTGTTGGGTTAAAAGCTTTTCATCCACCAAGGAGCGTAATCCATTCAAAATTGATTCCGAAACATCCGCATCCAATATCGGGGACTAGTACCGATGATGTGTTTTCCACACATTCATAAAAATATAATGTATGCCACTAACCAAAGATTATTGTTCATTTCACTCAATAGGTGATTATGTATTTAATATTTAGTTATAAAAAGAAAGAAGATATAAAGGTTAGATTAAAGAAGATTAAATTGCAAAAAATCGGCCCAGTAAAATATAGTATTTTTATTTTTTTTCATCTGAGAATATCTAAGGCCCTGTCCAGACTATCAAATTTTATTTAACAAAAAAACTGTTACATGCCCATATATAGACAAGATGTGCCCATATATAGTCATGATGTGCCCATATATAGTCACGATGTGCCCATATATAGTCATGATGTGCCCATATATAGTCACGATGTGCCCATATATAGTCATGATGTGCCCAAATAGTCATGATGTGCCCATATATAGTCATGATATGTGCCCATATATAGTCATGATGTGCCCATATATGGTCACGATTTGCCCATATATAGTCATGATGTGCCCCTATATAGTCATGATGTGCCTATATATGGTCATGATGTAAAGTCATCATGACCATATTTAGGCATGTCACATGGTATTGTCAAATAAAAATTTGATAGTCAGGACTTTTGATTTTTAACATATAATTTCTTTCATTTAAAAAAATGTTTAATTTTTTTTTATAGAGCAATATTTGGTCAGCACATCACATGAATAATTCTTTGGATATTAAATATTATTGATGATTTTCAAATTATTATTTTTTTTCTCTGTATGAATTGTATCATCATTGTATCAAACAAGGTTATATATCTATATTACTTCCTTGTATGTTTGTTTGTATTGCTGTGGAAATTGAATTTCCAGATATGTGATTTGGTAATAAAGTTCATCTAGTCTAATTGCTGCAAAGCAGCCAATTCATATTCTTGACAGCAATTTGACCCCTGAAAGGTCATTGTTTGTCAAAATACAAGTGCCTAAGATAAGACGACCAAGGTGAATTGCCTTGAGACGACTGAAAAGTGGAGTTTCCTTCTTTCATTCTGCCGGGTACCAACGTCCGCATGTTTGTACTCTCTAGGCCTAGACTAGCTAGGATGGTATAGGCCTAGCCTTGAAGGGACGAAGGTCCCAATGAAAAACAACGTCGCTCTTTTATAGCTAACATTGTCTATTTAACATCACAATAATTCATTATTAGACCTATAGTTGTTTTTTGAATTTTACTCCACAAATCTTAGCCGATACCTCGCACAACTCGTTAACGTCTCTATCTATTGTCGTGACATCATGGCTCGCTGGTTCACACTTGCGGTGTCTCGCACTTGTGATCAAATAACACGCTGGCTCGCACTTTGGCAACACTCTTTGGCAGTCAACTCGCCCCTAGAAAACCCGCCCTTGGAAACTTGCCCCATAAAAAAATGTACACTTCCTAGACCATGTAGTCTTCAAAATAAAAATTGTAACCTTTGTAATCAACTACATTTTCCACATACATAGAAATTTTTGAAACTTTATTAAAAAAAACCTAAACCATAATTCACCACAGACACTTTTTGACAAAAATGAAAAATTACGACTTTGTTACCCAATGAGAAGTGTTCTAATATAGACAATGGGTCATGTCTCATATTATTTTATATATTTTTATTATTCATTATTTTCACTTGACTCGCATAAATAATTTTGTTCGAACAACATTTATATGTTCGCAGCACTTCACTTGAAATTTTTTATATTATTTATTATATATTTAGAATTTTTTTTTGGAAATGTTGCATGTATAATCTAAGGCGTATTGTTAAATTATCCTCATCATAACAATTCCACATTGACTCATGAAAATGAGACATAATTTTTGTTTGATTTTCATATGTCCCGGATTATATTTGTTATTATTTAGCATTCTAGTTTCACTTGTATCCCTTCTGTTCATTCCCTAGAATTCAACATATTGACAAATTAATTAATAATCATTATATATTCATTGTTATATTAAACCATTATATGATTACCCTCATTAAATATCATCCAATGTGCTCTTCCCTTGAGTTTTAATTGGAGTTATAGTTATTATTTTTACTTGGAATCTGGGTTGAAGATAAAGACAACGTGTTGTCGCTTTCAATATCTTCCTATAGTTGAACTAGATATTCAGCAGTAGTAGTGTAAAGTCATATCTAAGGGACAGATAATAGTAACAGAAAGGCTATATGTCAAGAGCAGTTTTATCACCTGTTTGTACTTTCTGATTTCTAGAATTCATTTCAAGAAAAATAGTGCAACCTATGGCAAAAGTCAACATATATTACTATTTTCATTATAATTTTTATTATTACTATTATAAATCCACATTTAGATTTAGTATATTTTGTCATCTCATACAAAGTATAACATAAAATTTATTTTCTTGGCAAAATTATGTAAAAACAGGCAAACTCATGATGGGACTACTAAAATTTGATTTAAATTTGAGTGAATCATCTACATTTTCATTTATTTAATATTTAGGTAGCCTGAAACAATCTTTAATTTCTTTCTGGAATCCATCCCTCTTCCCCCAGTTCAACTAATTTGTATTAATACTGTATAGTAAAAGAGGGAAATCTGGAATCCACCCCTTCTATCACCCAGTTCTTCACCATTTGTATTTTGACTGTATGAAAATGAAGTTGAATTACAACTTATTAAATCTTAAAGATGACAATTTTCTTTTCTTTCTTTTTTTCGGTGGGGGTGGGGGGGAGTTTGATATTATATGTTGGAAACTAGTTAATATTTTTTTTTTTTAGTAAAGAACAACTTCTGCAATTGTTCCTTTAGCAGTTTACCATTTTATTATCCAAATTAAGTAATTGAAATTTGTTATACTTATTCAAATTTTATTTATATAGCGTGACCCTTCCAACTGGGCCAAAAATGCCAGCTGATGTCTGGGGGATCGCTATTAAAATATAAAACATAAAAAGATGAATATATCCACTTATAAATTGGCTGAAAATACATTGATTGATTGATTGAATAGTACTTTCAACATCAAATAACTAAACATTAAATTTAGAAGCCCTCTAAGGTGAGTGCAACTTAGCTCAGGTGGTTGAACTGGTGGTAGCCACTGTGTGTGCTCTGAACCGTGGAGATCTCTAGGTCCCCGGTTCAATTACCATCGCTGCTGTCCTTGTGTTTCAGCTGGGGGGGCTGAAATACAAGTTATGATAGCGCACCGTCTTTTGGATGAGACGTTTAAGCCGTTGGTCCTGTGTGCAATATGGCCCATATGCACGTTAAAAAATGCAGTACATTCTTCAGAAAAGAGGAGGAGATTGTCTCCTGGTGTACTGCCCCATTCACTACCAGAAGGACCCCACTGGAAACAAGTCTTTATTCTTGGTGTGATTCCTATCCTGTATGTTCACAACACTATTGCGAGTATACCTAATACTACCTACAGGATACAAGTGCACTGTGGATGAATATAATTATATGAACGTGGCCTATTATTTGCAGTTAATTGTGTTTTGAAAGATTTCAGAAATGTATATGTAATTTCCTTGATCCAAGC